GCTAAATACTGCACAATTTAAACATTTGCCCCCAATCCCCCCTTCCTCAAAACACGTGTAAATATTGGACTATAAATTATACTTATGCTAAAATGTTTATTCTACTGAGCTATTTACTTGGTTCGTATTCTTATCTTTTATTATTTCTTATTGTTGTTGCATTATCGAGAAGGAACCTGCAAGTAAGCATTTAATTGGACGGTGTATACCATGTGTATATTCTACATATGACTAATACAACTTGAAACATACAGCTCACCCATACATACACTGTGTGTCTGAAAGATGTGGTGTGTTCACAGTGGTAGCTCCCATTCAGACAAACTGCCTCAGGGCTCATCTGCTCTCTGCAGAGTCATGTCTGCTGGTAATACTCCGTTTATACAGGGCTATTTGGCCTCTGGGGCCCGCCTGACCCATTGTCTGCCGGTCTCCCTGCCTGACCCTAAGGCCACTGCATCCCTCCCTCTGCCTGGTACTGCAGTCATGTGAATAACTGATGGCAGGCTCCTGAGGCTTGACTGGGGCGGTCGGTGGGTCACATGAGCTGAGGCCAAGACTTGGCCTCTCATGACTCTTTTCAGTCAGTCATCTACCCAGACACACACTCACACACACAGCCTCTCACCTTTCCATCACCATCAATCTCAAGGCATTCAGAAACCTGTGTGTATATGTTGTGTGTGGAGAGCAGCCAATACGCTGTTGGGATGTTGGATGCTTGACAAAGCAGTTCCTAGCAGAGCCACAGATAGATCTACACTGAGTGTACAAAACATTAGGAACACCTGCTCTTTCCATGACATAGACTGTCCAGGTGAATCCAGGTGAAGGCTATGATCCCCTATTGATGTCACTTGTTAAATCCACTTCAATCAGTGTAGATGAAGGGGAGGAGACAGGTTAAAGAAAGATTTTTAAACCTTGGGACAATTGAGACATGGATTGTGTATGTGTGCCATTCACAGGGTGAATGGGCAAGACAAAATATTTAAGTGCCTTTGAACGGGGTATGGTAGTAGGTGCTAGGCACACCGGTTTGTTTCAAGAACTACAACGCTGCTGGGTTTTTCACGCTCAACAGTTTCCCGTGTGTATCAAGAATGGTCCACCACCCAAAAGACAGCCAGCCAACTTACATTTACATTTACATTTTAGTCATTTAGCAGACGCTCTTATCCAGAGCGACTTACAACTTGACACAACTGTGGGAAGCATTGGAGTCAACATGGCCCAGCATCCCTGTGGAATGCATTCAACACTTTGTAGAGTCCATGCCCGACGAATTGAGGCTGTTCTGAGGGCAAAAGGGGGTGCAACTCAATATTAGGAAGGAGTTCCTAATGTTTTGTACACTCCGTGTATATAGGATTCTGGTTACCTATGAATTTGTCTCATAGAGTTTCAGTGTACTAGTTGACATTGTACAACCCTGGAAAGATCCTTTCCATGTTGGGGTGTCATGCAGGCTTTAGCAGGCTTTAGGGTTGGAGTTGGGGGACAATAAAGGTGGAAGGTCATGGTCCTACATGAAGAGGGACAGGTGGTTTCTCACGGCCCAGTGCTGGTCCTGGTTAACCATGGGCCTCTGTCTGAAACAACACACTGGGAGTTGTTTGTTCAGAGGATGTCTGGCTCTTTGGGCCGGCTGGTACTCCTGGAATGTCCATCCCTTGTGCCCCCCCTCAGGCACACGCTCCACATATTTGTCTTGTTTTCCATTTAATAAAACTGCCATTCTACCCCCCTGAGTTGTGGATTTACTGACATGCACCACATGCTCACAGACTTTTGATCTAGCTCTGAATTATATTACGGTGGTATTTTGACAGGGTATATTTGTCTAGTCTTCCGCTATTTTAACTTTCTCATGTTAATCTTAGTTTTCATGGTTCAATTATGTTATCTTGTGTTTCATCATTCCAGGGCCCTGCTCTGACACAATTCACAGGGCTGCTGATTCTGTCCACTTTTTGGTCAATAATTCAGTGTCAACTTTGGACTTACCTTTCCAACTCTTTCTTTCCTTCTTCCAGGTGACACAGTCAACCTCCTACCAGAAAATTCTTTCAAGAATTCAAATTACGACTTTGGGAATATTGGTCTAGCCCTGTACAGTGGTCTGTTTGCCTATGGAGGGTGGTAAGTACAGAGAACTTGACTGACACATCCAGGACTATTGAACACTAGGCCAGCATTTTGTCCTCCACGTAATCCCATTGTAAACCCCATTTTAGGAGGGCTGACCAATTAAGAACTCTACTAAGTGAGCATGGTGCTCAGTTTTCTACTTCTAACACTCCCTCTTTCCCCGTTTCTCTCCCACTTCCCTCTCCTCCCTGGTCTTTTTAGCACTGTGTATTAGATGTTTTGTTGCTCTATGGGACATGAAAATGACTGTATGATTGAATACTTTATCCTCATTCTCCCTTAATGAAATCACAGCCTGTCTACAGTAGATGTACACACAGTGTTCTGTTCTGTCTGTAACCACGTTTCCATCCACAGTTTTTATGGCAGTAAAGTCATCCCGTATAAAAAAAAAAAAATCACGACAGCTGTGATGGAAACAGGACGTTTCGGTATCATTTTATAAATGCCGACAAATAATTTGTTTATTCGACATGGTGGGATCTTTTTGTGTCTGTAAAATGTATTATGCGAGAAATGGCGGTGGAAACGCCATTTCATAACCATTGTATCAAAGTAAACGCGATGATATGGTGTGTGGTCCTCCCACTACGACTCGGGAAACCATGCAGTTTATTAGGCTACAGATGAAATAAGTTACAGTTGAAGTCGGAAGTTTACATACACCTTAGCCAAATACATTTAAACTCAGTTTTTCACAATTCCTGACATTTAATCCTAGTAAAAAATTCCCTGTTTTAGGTCAGTTAGGATCACCACTTTATTTTAAGAATGTGAAATGTCAGAATAATAGTAGAGTGATTTATTTCAGCTTTTATTTCTTTCATCACATTCCCAGTGGGTCAGAAGTTTACATACACTCAATTAGTATTTGGTAGCATTGCCTTTAAATGGTTTAACTTGGATCAAACGTTTCAGGTAGCCTTCCACAAGCTTCCCACAATAAGTTGGGTGAATTTTGGCCCGTTCCTCCTGACAGAGCTGGTGTAACTGAGTCAGGTTTGTAGGCCTCCTTGCTCGCACACGCTTTTTCAGTTCTGCCCACACATTTTCTATAGGATTGAGGTCAGGGCTTTGTGATGGCCACTCCAATACCTTGACTTTGTTGTCCTTAAGCCATTTTGCCACAACTTTGGAAGTATGCTTGGGGTCATTGTCCATTTGGAAGACCCATTTGCGACCAAGCTTTAACTTCCTGACTGATGTCTTGAGATGTTGCTTCAATATATCCACATCATTTTCCTTCCTCATGATGCCATCTATTTTGTGAAGTGCACCAGTCCTTCCTGCAGCAAAGCACCCCCACAGCATGATGCTGCCACCCCCGTGATTCACGGTTGGGATGGTGTTCTTCGGCTTGCAAGCGTCCCCCTTTTTCCTAACGATGGTCATTATGGCCAAACAGTTCTATTTTTGTTTCATCAGACCAGAGGACATTTTTCCAAAAAGTACGATCTTTGTCCCCATGTGCAGTAGCAAACCGTAGTCTGGCTTTTTTATGGCGGTTTTGGAGCAGTGGCTTCTTCCTTGCTGAGCGGCCTTTCAGGTTATGTTGATATAGGACTCGTTTTACTGTGGATATTGATACTTTTGTACTGGTTTCCTTCAGCAGCTTCACAAGGTCCTTTGCTGTTGTTCTGGGATTGATTTGCACTTTTCGCACCAAAGTACGTTCATCTCTAGGAGACAGAACGCGTCTCCTTCCTGAGCGGTATGACGGCTGCGTGGTCCCATGGTGTTTATACTTGCGTACTATTGTTTGTACAGATGAACGCGGTACCTTCAGGCGTTTGGAAATTGCTCCCAAGGATGAACCAGGTCTTGGCTGATTTCTTTTGATTTTCCCATGATGTTAAGCAAAGAGGCACTGAGTTTGAAGGTAGGCCTTGAAATACATCCACAGGTACACCTCTAATTGACTCAAATTATGTCAATTAGCCTATCAGAAGCTTCTAAAGCCATGACATCATTTTCTGGAATTTTCCAAGCTGTTTAAAGGCACAGTCAACTTAGTGTATATAAACTTCTGACCCACTGGAATTGTGATACAGTGAATTATATGTGAAATAATCTGTCTGTAAACAATTGTTGGAAAAATCACTTGTGTCATGCACAAAGTAGATGTCCTAACCGACTTGCCAAAACTATAGTTTGTTAACAAGAAATTTGTGGAGTGGTTGAAAAACGAGTTTTAATGACTCCAACCTAAGCGTATGTAAACTTCCGACTTCAACTGTATGATGAACTTCACAGGATCTTGATGCTCCTTTCCAATAAATATCAAGAGTCTTAGTCTGGTGTCATGATGATCGATGCTTGACTGCCGTCTTTGACAAATAAAAATATTCTCGCTCTTATCCATAATAATCTCATCATGTAGACTAACCTACCTGTATCTGTGAGCTGTTGGTTAGAGTGCACATGCCAAGACCAGAGTAGGCCCGTTTGCTATTTAATTCAACAGTTTTTGTGACAAAACTATCGGTAGAGTTTAAAATGCGATGGAAACACACCTATGGTGGAAAAATTCACATATTGTCTTTATGCAGATTCTATAATATTTGCATGAAAATCTGTCGCCAATTGGATGGAAACCTAAACCATGTCATCCTTATCTTGCAGGAATTACTTGAACTTTGTTACAGAAGAAATGATTGAACCTTACAAGTGAGTGTCAACTCTATTCTATGTTCCCTGTAACATGCTATAGGTCAAGAATGACTCCCTATGAATTTAAAATAATTACTGGTACATGCATGTTTTATGTTAGCACGATTCCTTTGTCAGTCCGTATTAAAGTTAGAATTACATGAGATTTTCTTCCGACGTAGGTATACAAAGGAGGTATAATGTCAGAGCTGAAGAGTTTAACTGTGCGTAACCCTCACTGCCCCCTCTCCCACAGGAACCTGCCTCGTGCAATCATCATATCCCTTCCCATCGTCACTGTTGTCTACGTACTAACTAACCTGGCCTACTTCACTACTCTGAGCCCAGATGAGATGCTCAGCTCTGAGGCTGTGGCTGTGGTGAGTTCTCCCCCATACCACAACATGAAGTCTGCACATACCGTACCCTCTATGTTCCCTTAAGCATACTCAATCTCCGGCTAGAAATCCATCGCTGTGTGTCTCTGTACACACAGCCCAGTGACTGATAGATAGACAGTTTGCTGATATTATTTGTCTGTTTCTGTGTCTGTCCTTCAGGACTTTGGAAACTACCACCTGGGCCCCATGGCTTGGATCATCCCTGTGTTTGTGGGACTGTCCTGTTTCGGCTCCGTCAATGGCTCTCTCTTTACATCATCCAGGTCACACACACTGTTTCATTCACACACACCAACTATGAGTATGCTCCACTTTGGTTTGTGTGTATGTAGAATTACTATAACCCCTGTCCTCTCTGTCAGGTTGTTCTTTGTGGGCTCAAGAGAAGGCCACCTACCCAGTCTGCTGTCCATGATCCACCCCAACTTGCTGACCCCTCTGCCCTCACTCATCTTCACAGTACGTACACAAACCTCCCTCTAACCAGGGGCTTCTCAAAACCACCCCACCACCAAGGGCTCTCATCATTCAACAAGTAAAACATATTGGAAGTCAAACATTGATCCTGAGGTTTGAGGCTCAGTATTATTGTCATATTTGCTATTTTCCATGGCTGTCGTTGATAGTCACTGCTGTGTGCTACATTCACAAACCTCTCACACTTCCCTTTCTCCTTCACAGTGCCTGATGACGCTGCTGTACGCCTTCTCCAACGACATCTTCTCCGTCATCAACTTCTTCAGTTTCTTCAACTGGCTCTGTATTGCCATGGCGATCATCGGCATGATGTGGCTGCGCTACAAGAAACCTGAGCTGGAACGACCAATCAAGGTGAGAATATGTGTAATGTCTCTAACCTGTTATCAACTGATCAGGCACCAGAGAGAGAGAGAAGGGAGAGGGAGAAAGAGAGAATGGAAAAAGGAGCTGGAACTGGTTACTTGGAGGCGTAGGCTGCAGTGTGACCTGCCATGGGCATGAGCTGCTGGCTAGTGAAGGTAGAGTAGCATGTGCACTGATACAGTCGCCCTAGGACTGTTGGGCACACAGAGCCCCTTTGTGCAACTGTAGGTCCTCTGCCTGCCCCCAAAATGGACCCCTAATGGCCTGAAACAATCTGCCTGGTTGACATAGCGATGTGTTAATGAGGGGAGTGGCCGAGAGAGGCAGTGAAGTGAAAGAGGCCATCGCTGCACAGTGCTGGTGGTCAGATGGATCTATCTATCTATTTACCACATAAATCTGTCATGTGTGTTTGGGACTGGGTCTGGGACAGAGGACCCTATAGTGGCCTGCTCTGTGCCACCATAGAGGAGGGGGTGGAGTTTTTTTTTAACACTGTTAATTCAATTCTCAGTCTTTGAATATCTCTCACTCATATACACACTCGCTGGTACTCATTAAGTTTGTGTGGCTCAACATCACACAGCCTTTGGCAGCCTCTGAAAAGATGGCAATTGATTACTGGTCTGATGCTCCACATGCAGCTGGATGTGAGTCAGTGTTCTGATCACAGTGTGACCAAGAGCACAAACACTCTCCCTCTCTCTCTAGTCCTCTGGATGAACGCCATTTGGTTAGTCAGCATTTCACCTCTAACCTTTGTCAGAACTTTAACCTTAGGCATTTACCTCCAGTAAACCTGATGAAAAGCAGTATTTGCTGATGAAAGCATTCTCTATTTTTTAAATATTGGATTTTAAATATTATATTTAGTATATAAAGATGCTTTGCCAATTACTGTCATACAATTTCACATTATTTTACTATTTCAATTTCCTCTATGGGTTTAGTTTGAATCCAGTCATTCTCTGTGTATTTTGTTAGCGGGAGTTTCAATGTGGTTGTCTGTCCTGGTTTATTTATTCAGTATCCCATTGAAACGTTTCCCCCAGGTGAATATCCTTCTGCCGATCAGCTTCGTCCTGGCTTGTATGTTCCTTATTGTGGTGTCCATCTGGAAAACCCCTGTGGAGTGTGCCATCGGCTTTGGCATCATTGCCACGGGAATCCCAGTCTACTTCATTGGTGTTTGGTGGCAAAACAAGCCCAAATGGCTCCTTCAATTAATCTGTAAGTTTTACTTATGAATTGCTTCACTGTACTCTATTGATCTATCTTCATGATGTAGTCTGTTTCTGATTATACAGTGATTTATAACTGACGGTGTGTATTTCTGTCTCTCTCTCCAGTCTCTTCCACGGCGCTGTGCCAGAAGATGATGGAGGTGGTACCACAGGAGTCCTAAAGAGGAGATAAAGCGACGAAGCCCCTCGACACGGAAAACCCAGTGATCGCTCATCTACCCTGCACCCCTACCCCTGAACCCAGTGATCGCTCATCTACCCTGCACCCCTACCCCTGAACCCAGTGATCGCTCATCTACCCTGCACCCCTACCCCTGAACCCAGTGATCGCTCATCTACCCTGCACCCCTACCCCTGAACCCAGTGATCGCTCATCTACCCTGCACCCCTACCCCTGAACCCAGTGTACCCCTTAACTCATCCCCTATTAATGTGTTCTTCAAGCACTCTCCAATCATTCCCCCTGATCTCCTAGTGTTGTAGTGAAGGAGAGACATGCTGCAGACTGGTGTACCCGTCAGAGCCCCTCTTTCATTCCTCCGTACCAGGCAGGGACCACGGCCAACTCCACCCTGCCCATAGGCTGTTTGAAGTGCTGGGATATCTTCAGACAGGTTTTCACTGTAAAGTATCAGTTTTAAAGGGCCAGTGCAGTCAAAAACATGGTTTTCCTGTGTTTTAGATTTCCATACTATGAGGTTGGAATAATACTGTGAAATTGTGAAAATGATCATAATGCCCATTTCGTGTAAGAGCTATTTGAAAAGACTACCTGAAATGTCTGCCTGTTTTGGTGGGATGGAGCTTTGGCCTGCCTGGTAAATTAGTTACTAGTCCAATAAGAGAGTTCCAAACCTCTCTGCCAATAACAGCTAGTTTTCAGTATTCCCCTCCCCACTCAGACCACTCCCAGTCAGTCCTAGAAAAATTCTTGTTTGAGAAATTGTATTTTGCTAAGAAGCCATTTTTGTTTCTTTTTTCCAATTTTGATTGAAAACAATCACAGTAAACTTAATTGTTACCCAGAAATATAATATAAAAACGGCTGCATTGGACCTGTAAAGATTTTGTTGATTTGTATTTTTGAATATCTTTGTACTCTTATCCAACCATGACCCACAAATGTTGTTTTTATAAGGATGATGTTACTTTTATTTTTCATATTTGAGTTGCAGAGAAATGTCCTCTGGTTTAAACTATTATTTCACTGAGGGTTTGGCATCCGTGTGTTCATGTTGTTGCAATCTGTGCTTTCATGCAGTTGTGATGGACATTTGTGACCTGGCTTTTTGCCAATTCCTTGTAGGCCAAAGCTAGAACTTTTGTTCAGATTTTCATGGTAGACTCACTGTTTCTCAGTAATTCTGCCATTACCCAGTCAGGGAGTCAACTGCTTCCCAGTAGGGCATCATCTCTGTCTGTTACCATGGCTTCTATTTCAGCACCTTACAGGGGGGGAGTATTAATGTATTTGTAAAGAATAGCCAAACATGAAGGACCCACAAATAACCTTTGCTTATACTAGTGCCTCTGATGAAGCCAAGGCTATTCAGTTCCCCAACTACAGACACAGTAGAACTCATCTAACCCCAGAGAAGCTGAAGACCGAAGTAGACAGGTAAATGCACGTGTAACAGTGATTGGAGCGTCCGTGGTATACTTCTTACGTGATAGAACTTACCCTCCCCTCGGCATCTATGGCAGACCAGACTGGTTCACTGTGCCTAGACTGTACATGTTGGAAATCCCTGCTTTGGCAGTTATTTTTGACATTCTTTGTAGATATGAATTTCTACTTGAATTAGTTTATTTTTATAGGTAGATGCAGTGGAGCTTTTTTTTAATGCTGTCAATTAACTATTTTGTAAATCCAAGGAATTCGTAGATTCCTATGAGATTTCTGGTTCACAATTATACCATGCCGGGGACATTTTAATTATAGTTATTATTACAACTATTTATCGTATACAAGTTGCTTGTGTCCTGTGAAGGTCTATTACTCAATCACCAGTAGCCTTCTTACTGTACTATGTATCACTTCAGTGGACCTACAGTATCACATTAATATAATATAGCTGGTTGCAAACCTTACACATACAACATCATGGTTTTTTAATACTGGCGTAAACACAAGCTTGTGAACATAATAGTTGCCTGCTTGAGGACTTGATTTTGTTCTTAGATCACAGTGATATTGTGGGTATCAGATGCACATTGGTATTGTTGCTATAATACTACTGTTACGTTAAAGGGTTTTTATAACAGAGCAGGTCGTAACAAAGGCCCCCAATAGGAGCACTGACGTCACAGTGACTATTTTTACCTACGACGACAAGGCTGGCTAATAACCTTAGATATTGGGTTAGAAAGGGCCATTGTGTGTGAGTGTGTATGTGTCTAAGAATAGGGTCATAGCTGTAAAGATTATTTCATTGTTTTAGTGTTTATGTGTTTATGTGTGTCTTGGTATCCTACATTAGAAAAGGTCTACTGTATGTTGTCACTACTGTCAGCCACCAACTTCATAGAAGGATTTCATTATTTTAGGGTGATAATGAGATTTGGGTGGTAAATGTTTGATGAGGTATGGACCATGGTAGTGGGAGATCGGTAGTTGCCCAGTCAAAAGGGGGGAGGCAGAGGTTAAAACCACATAGTCTTTGGATACAGATGCCTCAGAGGGTGGGACAGTGGAGACAGGACAGGAGGTGGAAAGGGGGTTGGGAAGGTTGACAAGATTATTAATTCATTGTTATTCTTATTTTTGCTGAAAGAAACTAGTGTACTGTATTAACTGAACTCGTCATCCTGAAGCTTGTCCAGACCCGTTGTATCGTTACCGTGGTAAAGTGTATGATGTGTTGTGCTATAGACCACGTGGTCGCGGTGGTAACCGTATAGCTCATGAGTCTGGTCTCCCATCAGTTTCTCGGAGGATGTGTCATTGTATGTAGAACCGCAGTATAGCAAGCTAACGCTCCAGCCATCAGAAGTAATTTAAATAGTACTGTAGAAGGTTTGTTTAGTTATTGTAGGAACTGTTCGCCCTTACATTTTTTGTCCTCTAATTTTTTACAGGGCATTTGTGAAAGTGCTTTATGAATAAATCGTACGTTTTTTTCCATACATGTATTGTCAATTTTTTTGTTTCCTTTTTCTGTGTTCTCATGTGAATAAAATAAAATGTTTCAATGCAATCCTCTCTGTAACAGATTTGTTATGTTGATTGTATATAGCCCATATGCTATATCAGTCTCTCTACCAGGTGATTTGCTAAAGGGATTAAGCAGAAGACTATAAGTAGCCTACACCAATGACTTGGTCCATCCATTTGACTTTGATCCTTGACCTCCCAGGATACATTACCGACATAGATTAAGCATAGTATTGGACTAAGAAGCATGGTCAATGGAGAATCTTCATTGAAAGCCTTTTAGTCCAGGACTAAGATTGATCAATGTCTGGGAAACCACCCCTATATGATAAAGTGGTTTGTGCTAATCATTATTATGTTGCTCAAGCCTGTATGTGTAATTACAATCCTGCTACTCAGAGGGTAACCGGTTTCCTGGTTCTGCCTTGAGGGCAAAGTGTGTCCTGACAAACTGGTAAATCTGTCTGTACTACACTATATTCCATACACATGCTTCACACACACTGACACATGATCATGCCCAAGGGCAGACAGAAAAGTTCCTGTTAACCTCTTAAGGATCGGACCCTTTTTTTCAATTTTTGCCTAAAGTGACACACCCAAATCTTACTGCCTGTAGCTCAGGACCTGAAGCAAGGATATACATATTATTGATACCATTTGAAAGGAAACACTTTGAAGTTTGTGGAAATGTGAAATTAATGTAGAGAATATAACATTAGATCTGGTAAAATATCAAACAAAAAAACATGCGTTTTCTTTTTTTTCATGATCTTTGAAATGCAGTTTAGGCGCAATTTAGATTTTGCCCACTATATGGCAGCAGTGTGTGCAAAGTTTCAGTGAAGCATTGCAATACTGGACTATTTTGTATCAAGTCTGCCCAAATGTGCCGAATTGGTCAATTGATACATTGAAGTACATCACTATAGAGAACATACAAAAAAACAATATGGGAATACAAAATGTAAGTTTACACACTCCCAGGAATGTCATACATGATGGATCATTAGCTTATACACTAACTTTCACTCATCTAGATGGCCGGGCGGGGTGGGTGTGGAGCCAGAGACATCAGGGGTTTAAACTGTAGAACCCAGTTCCTACATTGGAATATAAAAATGGATTTTATCCAACAAAACCATGCTACATTTTATCTCTGGGACCCTTAGGATGGCAAATTAGAGCAAGACTACTGAATGTAAGTACATTACCTTCAGAGGTGAATGTATCAAGCCAGTTGCCGTGATAAGTTTGTTGTTGTTCACTCTCAAACAATAGCATGGCATTTTTTCACTAATAGCTACTGTAAATTGGACAGTGCAGTTAGATTAACAATAATTTAAGCTTTCAGCCCATATAAGACATGTCTAAGTCCTGGAAAGTTTGCTGTTACTTACAACAGTCATGCTAATAACATTAGCTCAACCGTCCCGTATACGGGACACCAATCCCGTAGAGGTTAAAACCAGTTTTAATGAAGACAAAAAAAACTCCCAGCTCAGAGTAGGTTTTAGGATGATGTTAAGACATTGCCCAGACAAACTGAGCCAGGAGTAAAATCAATTAATAAAATTTCTTAGCTGGTAATCACGACAGCTTGAGGTACCGCAAAGAAAAGATAGTGACGACACTCATTGACATTATTGCAAATAACTGTAATGGAGAGTCAGGAAGCAGGTGCAGTTGGTGAGTTTAATAGGAACAAACATAGCGTGAATACAAAAACAGGCGTAGCATCTCAACATTAAACAATACTACCAAATGGGTGATACAACGGAGTGTTAGATAAAGGGGAAGTAATCAGGGAGTGATGAAGTCCAGGTGTGCCTCATGATGGGGCGCAAGTGTGCGTAATGATGGTTGCCAGGTGTGCGTAATGATGGGTTGCCAGGACTGGGTAATGATGGGTTGCCAGGACTGGGTCTAGCGCTGGAGCGGGGGGAGCGGGGGTAGACGTGACAATTATAAACTGGGTGGTTCGAGCCCTGAATGCTGATTGGCTGA